GGCGTGTGGCACCGCTATCAAGTCCGTACGCATATCCATGAGTGTGTGCTCAAATAGAAATGAGGAAGACGTTTGAACATGTCCAAACAAAAATGATTACACAATACAAGAAAAAAGAGAAGGAATATCGTTCATGCTCATTCAAATTTTGCGCGCGGCTTTTTCATTTAGGGGGCGGGTCATTTGTCAACGTGTCCTTGATTTGTGGCTGCTTTTTGGTGTTGCGCATTTCAAGCAGGGATCAATCAGAACAACAAATTAATTCAAGGTACCCCAATTAATTAACCGGTTCGACCCCCCTGTCGTCAGGACTAATTTTGCAAACCAGCTCGATTGAATTTCTTACAATAACTTACTGTTGTTTAATCTGCACCCGTTACAAGGGGTCAATTGATTAGCCTACCCCACCTCAATTAAGAGACTACTTAATTGAGCTGGGCCCTTAGGGGGGGCCTAGCTAAGGCAGGGGCTATGTTTTAGGATCTTTTTGCGTAGGTGACTTTCCCGTCTCTTGAGCGTTCTTACCCGTTGCTTGGGCGCTCTTGCCCGTTACTTAGGCGTTCCTACCCGTTCCCCTCTCACTACAATCAGTAGTTGGGGACAAACCAATGGTAGCCCTTTTGGGTGGAGCAAGCGAACACTTTGTACTCTAGACCGGGGACTAGGGTCAGGTGGCTTTCTCAAGAGCTTTCTCATTCAAATGCTGGTATTGCCTCCTGCATGTAAGAATGCATGTGATTGTGCATCGGCGTTTTTGACCCTCGAAGCTGCAGCCTAATCTTTTTGAAAACCGGCAGAACTTTCTGCCTAAATTACATTGGGCGGACATTATTGCCTAAAGAAGTTCTAGGGATTGGCGAGGAATCCTGCGCGAAAGAACCCGTTCCCTTGCTCCATTGGAGTTAGTTCCGCTGGATGGTTCATTGAGAGGTCCAGCATGGCATGTGTGGCGGGGCATCACACCCACACCCAAACGTTGAAACAGGATCTTTTGGCGGTCTCCTATGGTGACACAGCGCCAGTACCAATCAATCCAGGCCGGGACTGCAGGAGCTGCTTGAGTTCAGAGTTACTGTTTCCAGAATTCACAGATTTATGCACTTGTAGGCTGAACCCACATGAATCCACTGTTTTGGAGGGAGCCCTCCAGGGTTTTGTATTTTTGCTCTTCGGGGGGTAGCTGGGTGTTGTTTTACTTCTTCAACGCAACTGTTCATAAGGATCCGATGTTGATAGATGTGGGCAGCCTTTGTAGTTCTGCTTCCGGTTTTGCCCTGAGAGCGTGCTTGCTGAAGCTGCCAAGCAGTTTGCCAAGCCATTCTGCTCAGGTGGCCTGGTCTTGTTCTGGTCCTTGAAGAACCCCACCTATCCTGAGAGGGTCATCCGAACTAGGCAAGGCGTGTGGGACCTCAGACCGGTTTGGATGTTTGAAGCACTCTTTGCATCGGAGACAGAAGGGACCCACATGGATGGCAGTTCACGACTAAAGGGCCAAGGGATCAGTTGGGGACATGTGCAGTCATAAGCCACCATCTTGTACAATGCAGCTGTGGATGGTTGCAGTGAGCAGTCGTTCCAATCAGAAGCTCATTGATTTCTAGTACAGCCGTTGTGATTCGCATGATGGGAGAAGCTGCCATGTTTGTGAATGAAGTTGTATATATATATATATATATCACGGAGGGCTGAGATGAGCACGGCAGTGAACTTTGCCTGAATGAGGTGACTGCCTTGCACTTCTCCTCTATTCATCCGAACCTTGGACTGTTCAGCATTCAAAAAAGAGCAGCCCCAGACGAAAACAATACCTCACAGGTTTGCAGAGGCTGGCTGCCAGGTTTTTGCATTCTCATTGCATCCGGATGCTTTCTTCAGACCGCAGTCCACCATAGTCATATGACCAGAACAGACTTTCAAGAGATTCTACTGTATGTTTAAGTGATCCAGGATTGAGGGCCAATTGGGAAAGCCTGCCGCCTAGGAACATGGTGGCAGCTGGCACTCATGATGGCTCGGCATGCAGCCCCAGGGAGGGTTTGAAGGAGAATGCCAGGCACTAGGCACCAAAATTCTCTCATAAACGAATCACGATCAATTGAGCAAAACAAGCAATTTCAGCAACGTGATGCTGGTTTGCAACGCTGCTTTCTGGAGCAAATCGGTGAGAAGCAGCTTCAGCAACCTTATGGCGTTTTTTTCTACAGATGCAGGACTCATATACCACAGCTAGGTTTAGGGGATATAACTCCGCATCACTCCGCATCCCTGTAGTTCACAACGGCCAGGATGCCTTTTGCCTAGCATGCCCCAGAGCTGTCAGACCAGTTCTAAGGATTCAAAGGGTTAATCTAAACATGCCCCGGTAGAACCCAAGCACCCTTGCAGCACCAGTGGCTCCCAGTATGAGCATTTGTCAACCCTGACTGCCTTGACCTCCAATAGAAGGCAAGAAATGAAATATAGAAGGAAACAATTTCCACACATTTGAGAGTGGACATACCTGGATCGGTACCTGAATCCATCTCTCTTGCACTCTCATTTGGAGAAGTTCGCTTGTGATTGCGCGACCGCGCCTGCCGACTGCCAAGGTCATGATTTGGGATCTTCGGCGACCTTCAGATGCTCCAGTGCTGCGAAGTGGCTCCTCTGTGTGCCTTGGAGGGGAAGGGAAGATATGGGAGCTGAAGTGGATGTGCCATGGGCCTGGGAAACAAGTGCATTTGCAGTAGCGAGGCCTGGACTCTGGTCACTCTGCACTTGCTGAGCATCAGTTCGTGAGACAGTGAACATAAGTAGAGACTTCCGGGTTGACCCACGGGAAGAGTCAAAATAGAAGCCCATTGATACGGAGACCCCGTTATGATTTTCATACCAATCCACATCTGTGAACACGAATTGAAAAGAACCCGGAAGGATCCCGAAGGCTCATTGTATATACTGTATATATATAAATCATGTGAAGAGGAAGGGGAAGCTCATTTGTTTCGGTCTTGTAGAACACATGACAGTACACATGATTTTTGCGACACATTCATACAGTCAACACTTTTCTGGCGAGGAGGATTTCCACTGTTTACGTAGTTCCGCCTCGGCAGAGCTTGAGGTCATTTGCCCATATGTTACTCAGCCTCCCAGCAAACACCCACAATTTGTTAGCCTTTCGATGGCAACTCTGGGCAGGTCTTCACACAACGACCAGAAGCACACAGACATCGTTTGGGAGACGAGATGGGTTGACCAAGGTCCAGACAAGCAGTCCCGACCTCAAGCAAGTGACGCACCAAATCACAAATCGTCAAGACCTTCCTACGATTGAGACAGGGGATGGCTTCACCCCGACAGCAAATTACAATGCGCCCCAAACTAGCGCCAGCAAAAGGAAGCGGGCTGGTCCTGAGACCGCTCGGCTTGCACGTACCCCAAAATAGAGTCCCCTGCAGACCGGGAGTAGTACTGGGAGTTTTTAGACGAAGACGGTGGCACAATCAGTTGGCCAGTTATTTTTGTGTGAGTCTGCCTGCTGTTCTTGAGGGTTAGTAGCATGACAGCTTGTCGTATCATGTATAATATATATTATAGGGGTAGTAACATAGGTTTGAGCAATGATCATTCCAATTGAGTTGTTGGCATTACGATATGAGCCCCCCCGGCCGCCGCAGGGGGTGTTTTTTTCTCGCGGCTCAAAGTGGGTAGACAATCGCTCAAGACACTTCCGAAGACCATGGGCAAGTCCAGGCCCCAGATATCGTGGCTTGGGAGAGGCTCTTCGACTTGACGGCATTGACTCCCGAATCATTTGCAACACAGTTTTTGTGATACATGACCTGCTTGGAGGGGATTCGCTTGTGTATCAATCTGGGGCTCACTATAGCCATTCACTGAGAAATTGGATCGGACTCAGCTGCTGCAGTGGGTTCACTAAGCAAGGTTCACCATCGACCCATCCCTGGAGGCTGGCTATGAGCTTCGTGGGACCGGGCAAAGAGACACCGCAAAAGTCTACGGAAGTCCAATGATCGAAGTTCATCTCTTGTCAACCTTGTCAACTTCTCACTGCAGTTGGTTTACTGATGTTTACTGTACCACAAGTTTAGATATGAAAATGTATTGCTGAAGTTCATCGCTTCTCCAGTATCAAAGTCACTGTTTGGTTGCTGCGAAGTGCCCTAACCGGGAAATGGCAAACTGTGGCTTCTCCTTGAAGTCGGTTTATGTCGGTTTCGCCTCGTTGTCAAATGTTTAAGTTAATGTATTCTGAAGACTGTGCCATCAGTTGAATGTACTGTGTTGATCCTCACAGAAGTCTCAAAGTTGTCGACCATGTGGCAAGGGCCTCAGATATTTTTGGCACGGAGTGCTCATGCCAGCAATAGTGGTACGCAAGTCAGGCCGTTTTGGCCGTGTAGTTCATCTCCGGCGGACCAGTCCAAGAGAGAAAACAGACTTTCACGCCGATGCTTCCGTTGGTATGAGGGGTTCTGAAGCTGCATGGACCAGAGGTTTGGGGGGGCCCTTGCCACGCCCCGCAGGCCAAGATGCATCAGTACCAGATTGTGGGCCGTGCAGCGCCCACCAACAAGAATCCAACTCCCAAGAGCGGGTGCCCAGAGGCACGTAAGGCGTAAGGTATGTGACCTGTGTCGCCATGCGTCACCAGCATTTTGGGTGGAGCTACACCTTCCAAGACCTGTAGGGCAGTCGGGTGAGGAAAAGTCCCAACGAACTCACGAACTCTTCAACTCAATGTGGTGAGTGATGGTGAGTGGACTTTGCTGGGTGAACTTGGAACATGTAGAACCCCATCCAAACCAAATCGATTTGCTGGGTACCGCTTCACTGTCTAGTCATCCAAGCACCCTCCAATTCTGCCCCCGTCCGTCGCATCTCAGGATCTACCGCATGCGAATCTTTGCGAGGAACGTGGTTTTGGCAAAGAGCCGCTTTTGGTATTTCATGAAGAGGTTGAACAAGGCCCTCCATCTGTGGACCGTGGACACTTGAAGTGTAGAGTGGGTCGACTTCAACTTCAGACGCGAACTTCAGAAAAACTTCAGAAAGCCGACCGAATTTGAACGGCATGCAGAGTCTTGCCACAGGGTTTCACGTTTCCCTGTCGTAAGGTAATCCATTAGAGAACTGTACGGCAGCTGTGCCCTGCGTAAAATTCAGAAGCAATTTTTGTGACACCCCTTTTGCCCGAGTGCCCCAGAAGCCTCAGCTGTTTCCCAAACCGGCTGGACCAACCTCGTCAACCCCAAGGAGCTGTGGAACCCCTCCAAGTGACAGGCGAAGAAAAGTGGTGGCGAGTTGCTGGTGCGAGCTCTCAGCTTGGGGTGGATCGTGTTGGATCTTGAGAAAAGACTTTGCGACGTAACCCTAAGCGTTCGTGCGAAGCAATCCGAAGTCAAACGGGTTCGGGCCAACTTCCATACATACCGCTAAGTGTTTTGAGGGAGTTTACATCCCCCCATGCACTTCCCAGCCCTGGCATGCAACTGGAAATGATGTTAGTGATGTTTTGGCATGTTGAGTGCTGAGACCTTTTTCTTAGTTTGGGCTGGTCTTCCCTGGTGCATTTCTACACGTTGGCGGTTTCCCATGCTACACCACTGTGCAATTTGTCAAGCCTGTGGAATCAAGCTACTTGGGGACAAACTCTTCTGTGTTTGTGTGTGACTAGAGGCTCAACAGAAAAAGAGCACTGAAGGACGTTGCTGGCAGATTTGCATGAAGAAAGGATCTCAAATCCCCAGGTCTCCTTTAGAGACAGAATCTTTGGGTGAAGATGTCCGACTCTTGTGCCCCACCTTGCTATGGCCATCTTGAGCTTGTCCCAATTAACGCAGGATGACGGCAGGTCACTTGCGGCCTTTCTTTGTGGCCAGTTTGCTGGGCTGTGTTTTGCCTGACATGCTGGATGAGGGTGGTAATGTTGATTGTGTATCCCTATAGAGATCTATATAGAGGTTCTTGGATGAAGTGCTGGAACATCTTCAGTTCCAGAGGCTCGTGCATCAATCATCAATCCTTCAATTGCAGCTTTTGCGCTCAAATTGAGCGGAGCACTGATTAATTTCCGCCAGTGGAGGTGTGGCGTGAACATGGGCGGACCACACCACGATTTGAATCCCCCATTCACTAGAGCAGTTTGAAGGACAATCCTGGCCACGCCTCTTCTGCTTTCTTACTTCACCTGAACCATTTACGTTCTGCAGCGCACCTTAGGATATGCCTCCGTCAGGGCACCTGGCTCACATCCCAAAGACATCCAAAGGCCACGTTTGGCAAGCCTTGTGTAAATTACCACTTGGGATTTGAGCCACGGGTTTTGACGGGTATGCAAGGAACACCACATTCTAGATCGAAGCTTTTCAAAAGTCCAAAGCATGTGAAAGATCAGCAGACCGTGTTCCACAGTGGTTTCAGGCCTCATCAGCTATAATTTTTGCCCTAAGGCCTAAGGGTAATGACATGTCATGATGACAATGATAGGGTCATGTTATGTTTGAGTTGCTCTTAGTATCGGTGGAACACTGAAACCTTCTTGGATGCCCCACAAGATTCTGAGCCCTCCAGAGACTCTATGGACGCATTTTCCTTCAATGAGTTCGTGGCATAGCGATTGGAATTGATCTCATGCTAACAGCTTTGGCCTTTGGGGCTGCCTGTGTGCCCTGGCGGTGTTGGCCCCGGCCGGTCGCTGGCAGACGACCCGATCGGCCGCTGAGCTTGGGCCGCTTGGGCATGTGGTTTGCAGCAGGCGCTGGTGTTTGTGTGCGCAGTGCGCGTGCACGCACATTGACAAGAGGCGAAGCAGAGTCGTGGCGAGAACGCCGCGGACTGGTGGGACAAGAACTGGAAGGATGGCCATGTTCCAGTGGGTTGGATGTGTTGATTCAGTGCTTTTATATTTCTTGCTTGCTCGCAGTTCCAATCTCATACCTACCGAGCCTGTGGATAGCGTTCAACCTTTTGGGGGATCGGGATTGGTTTCACCACCAAAACGACAGGGGGGGGAAGGTTCACCTGCATTTCCAGGGCAACTGAGGGGGTCAGCATAGGTCCTTAGGTATGTAACAAGAGTACTCATTTAGTTGTTCAAGGGGAATGACACCTGCACTGCATACGCCATTTGCATTTTTTTCTGCATATAATGTTCACATCGCAATAATAAACTTCCCTAGTGAAACATTTGCGACAAGCAAACATTTGTGGCAATAAGATCGCCATAATAAACCTCAGACCTTAGGACTATGAGAGCTGTTGCCTATTGTTTTTCTATTGGTCAAGAATATACGGCAATTCTTGCAGTAATTCAATCTGGAAACGGGTGTTTCATTGTAGAGAAGTACTGACTGTAAGTCAAGTTTATTGTTGATGCCTAGGAATTACTGTACATCAAATTACGCCACATAAACTCAAAAGCAGGTTTTATTGTAGAGGAGTTAGCTAAGTTGATTATTGCAAACCTTTTGACAGGATGTTATTTCTTTTTTCAGGTGTTTATAATTGTGCGTTGGGTCTTCGTAAGGGGTACTCTTTGCCAATAAATACTTCTTTTGATTGTTTGAAGAATGATGTTATGAAGAAAATTGCTTTTTTGGAGCTGGTTTAAATCCTGATTTTGCTGAACGATGTAAATGGTTCGTTTTAAACGTTATTAATTAATCAACTACTATCTACGAGGTTTAAAATTGGCTTGTTGTTGTAGGGCAGAACGATTTGCGTGTTTTATTGCAACCTGCTAGATAAGCAGGTTTGTTGTTGTAGAGGAATAAGTCAAGCTGATAATTGTATTGGCGGTATTTTTTGCAAGATTTGCCAGTATTCAATTTATCGCTTTATAATTGACCCGCTCTCTATTTTCAACCTTAAAAAAGAGTGCTTTCATTGACAGCAGCTTATTATTGCGCATGGTTTCGCTAGCCAGGAGATCTTTACTTATATATATATATATTTGACTCGGGGTTTGCCATTGTGATGTGAACACTATATATAATTACACAATCCGTTTGCTTTACATGCACTTTGATCTCTTGGAGTGAGTGAGCCAGAGCCCAGGTGCCGCAAGCAGACAAAGTGGCCATCCGAAAGTCAGCAACCGTGAGTTGCAGAAGGTTCTTGACCAGATACGCAGCACACCGAAGCAAGATGTGTCCAGCAAACCTTTGTTGGCGAGAGCACGTGGCCTACTTCGAGCTGCGTTGATTCGAGAAAATGCAATGTTTGCTGATGAGGCACTGGGTGTGCTGGGGCGCTTGCAGCATCACCGTGGTCTCCAGTTGTCAGAGGAAGAACTCTACAGATTTGCTGAACCCTTAGTGAAACGCTCTTTGCGCTGGCGCTGTCCCAGTGATGAAGAGGCTGCAGAGGAGTTGATACGGCAACGGGGGGACTTGAATCTTCCAGAGGATCAGGTCTTCGAGAAGTCTTTGTCACTCTTGGCGACGCAACTCATCCCAGCATGGCTTGAGGATGCGCAGAATGCACGAGCAGATCGGCTGAAGATGGCCTCTGAAAGCTGGGAATCACTTGGCGTTGAAGACTTGGAAGGCGCGGTGTTGCATGTCTCAGTCTCCTTGGAATTGGGCGACCGCCGGGCTTTACGAAGATCCCTCGAGGTCATTCTTTCTCAAACCACAGACCTGCGCTTGGTGCTGCAACCGGCATTCCTGGCAGATCTGGAGGCCCGTGGGCTGGTCTCACTGGACACACGGAACAGTTCAAACCACTGGTGCCAACATGTTCAACGTGCTGCGTCCTTGGCCTGCTTGGGGGAGAAGGCTGGCGTCCTCCTTCGAAGACATGGAGCCCTACTGCTGTCGGAGGGCCAGGCCTGCCAAATGAAAAAGAACAAAAGCCTTCAACGAACTTCAAACCTGGAGACATACATACCTCAACATACTGTACCGGACCCTCAAGTTTGTAACCTAAAAGGCGGAACATGTAAAATGACCCAACAAGGCAGTGAACTTCTTGTATTTGTGAATGAGTGTCGGTTTGCAAACGGAGAGTCCAAGCACCAAGAGGCGCTTGATCACGTTGGATGAACCCTGTCCACTGGACCATTGTTCATTCTCAAAATGATCAATGTCTCCTGAAGCGCCAGATGGTTGCCATGTGATTTCAACAGAGCTTGAAGAGTTGTTTATGGGGTCTATTAAGGTTCGTTCTGTAAGATTACACACATATAGACTATATATATATAGATACTTCAATCTCTCTTGGTTCCGGCCAGGTCATTGCTGAAGGCTTTAACCACTGCGCTCCTCCGTTACGCCCCCGTGGCCTTGACCCTCAACTGGGACGGCACCGCACCTTCGACTCGCCCGAGGAGGCCCGGACAGTGGCGAAGCTCTCGTGGAAGCGCAGCCGACCGCGGCCAGCGCAGAGACATGCAGAAGTGCATTGCTTGTTGCAGGTACCACAACTGGAGTCATTGAAGCTTGGTGTTTGGTCAGTGTTTGCTTCAAAAGGTTTGAGTTTTTGGGGGGAGATGCACTGCATTCGGAAGCTTGAACTTGGCATCACCCCAAAATCCCGTTTGAGACACAAGAAGTTGGTGATGACTTGTTGTTTGCTGTGATGTTTGTTGTTTAGCTTGTCTTTACCACGGGGAATTGCAACTAGACTTTAAAGTGGCCGATCATGGGCAATCGGATGAGGAAGTCCTCGCACACTGAAATTCTCATTGTGGAGCTGGCTGATGTAGGTCCCGGCTTCGCTTGGGCAGAGCCCTGCTCACGGGGATGCATGCAATTGCTCATGAAACATGGTGTCCGGCAAGGCTGGTGGACCGATGGCAAGGGCGGGTTGGTCACAAGGCCCTTCCGGCATGAGCCGGGCTTGGATGTGGCTGCCGCAACTTTTGAAGGCCCAGCCCAGAAAGGAATTTTGATCGACATGTTCTCCCAAGAAGTGGGCATAATATTTATATTGTATATATATATACTATAATAACGCGAGAATCTAAATATATGGTACCCCCCCTCCAATACACACCCTTTGTGTGTTCTATACTGCAAACTATAGTGTTTTAGTGATATGTTGGACTCATTTTTTGAGTTATATTTTGAGATCTTTTTTTTCACATGATTGTTTGGAACACTTTCTGGAGGGGTGGTACCATGTTTGGGGATGATAATCTATCAGTTAATTGAAAGGGGAGTACCATATATATATATATACATACATGTCCTCAGGTGAAGATTGCATCTGAGAACAAGAAGCAAACAAAGACATTATTAAAAGATCTGCATACATCTTAAGAAATCTTAAGATTTCCCTCAAACCAAGAAACCAAGAACTAAGATTGTTCAGAAGTTTTGGGGATAATATTGGTTCTTGGTTTCTTGGTTCCAGGAAAATCTTAAGAGTTCTTAAGATTTCTGCAGATTTCGGAAGACTTTCGTCACACCACAACATTTGCATCCTTTGTTCAC